AAGTAAAATACACAAGATAGTGGGGCTCTCTTACCATTCCATTTTAGGCAACTTAACTTTCAAGTAGTTCATTATCAAAAGCAACCTGAGGAAAGGATGGTCCCCATGAAAAATCGAATGATGATTTTACATAAGTAAATCCTTTATCAGAAATAAGTTTCATACATATTTATCATTAGCTAATGAGTGGCACAACATACACTTTCAACTATTACATACAAAGGAGAAAATTTATACGTCCTTACCTGCAACACACGTTGCATCTCCTGACGAACGTCAGGATCTTGAGGGGGCACAACACCTTTCAATCTCCTTTCCAGGCGGGACTGGCTCCATCTACGGTACCAATCAAATTTGTAGATTAGGAATCGGCTAAGATGACCCCAGAAAAAAGAATATTCAATCAAAAGAGTAAAAATAAAAAAGAGAACAGCATGAATGGGCAGAAATATTATGTGTAGAAGGGTAACATCTCGGTCGAGCGGTGAATCGATAACAGGCAGGTTTTGTTCAAGCATTATCTGACGTTCAGCCAAGTTATAGATCCCGCGACCTAGGCAGTACTGAGGAAAAATGAGAAAGGTTCGCTTCAGTACATTATTCACCTCTTTAAGATATGGGTCAGAAAGCGAGAACATGTCCAACATGAAAGTAGTCAATGTGCCGAGGACACCTATCAGCAAATTAAGCATTGCGAGGCAGACAAATGCTGTGCTTGGAACACTGAAGAGAAAGCTAAAAGGATACATCAAAGGAATAATGGCTACACCATAGAGAAGCAAAAGTAATGTAAATGGAACTATGTTTCCCGACCCGACGTAAGACTGCTTGTCGAAGGCTGCGAATATCGCAACACATAGAAGGGCTGGAAAACAGTAGTTAATGATATCCCAAGCATAAGTGGTCAGCCAATAAACACATGGATGCAAGCCAGACACAAATTGCAGGTGCTTTGCTCCAGAAAAACGCTCCTGGACGAGGAAGAGGATAAAATTGGCTGGAATAAAAGAGAGCGCCAGGATTACGAATATAGCCAGAGTAAAGTCAATCACAAGTGCTTTTGATTTCTGTTTGTCCACCTCAGCCTGAGTGTAATTAAGGGGATGGTTACTAATGCTTAAGCCGAGATCTCGAGCCCCGCCGGGAAACTGACCAACCAATCGGGCACGAGTGAATAGACGTAGCTTCATGTTGTGCATCATGTTAAGATATCCTGGGGCAGATAAATAGCCCTTATTGTTGAACCAGATTCGATGGTAGTGGCTGGGCGGAAGCATCAGGCGGAGAGTGCGGAAGAACTTGGTCCAGAATATATCGGGATGGCCAACTTCTCCAGTAAGCTGTGCTAGGAGGTCAACAAGAGTGCTGTTCTCACTTAATGCCTGCTCAAGATGACCGCGCATCGATAGGTCGTCATGGGGCTGGAAACTGAAGCCTCCGTAGCGTCGCATGAGGAATCGGGATGATGATTTGAGCAGATAGTTGGGCACCGAATAGCCAGTAAGATTGATCAGCTCATCCGTCGAGGCCAGCCTCATACTGGGTGGATTCGGTTCCAGAGAACAACCCGAAATAGTGCCATCATGACACTGACATGTGTGGGCAGAATTTTCCCTTGCCAGAGCACGTTGGCTGGTATTAAGCATAGGCGGAGTGTCAGGAATCTTAAAGTCGCAAACCCCCAACTCTTCAGGTTCAAAAAGGAAACGATCACGTGGAACGCAGCGTAGACCCGTGAACATCACCGGCTGCTGGAGCGCGGTCTCATATAGCTGGCCAACTACTTGCACAGGGCGCGTCTGTTCCGAGTACTCCGGCTCTTTGTGAGCAAAAGCGGCGTTTTCATAGAACACAGTGAGCTGGGGACGAGAATTGATCATTGCCAGTAGCCAAGGATTGAGCTGCATAGATGGCTGATCAGTGAACACAGTGAAGGTACGAATGGCCAATAAAACGACAATGATGAGTGATACGGGCAGGATAATCTCGACAAACCAACCCTTCTTGTTACGACGCACATGATGAAATCGTTTGATGGTCACAGCTATAGCCTGACGAAACAAGTCGCTGGACGAAGAACGACTCGACAGTCCTCCTTCAAATATGGTAGACCCTGGAAAAGTCAGCGGTTTGAGGACCGGGGTTGAGCGGCGCTTATGGACAAGCCGGTGCAAATTGTTGCGCATGAGGCTCCAATGCGTAGCCACACGTGGAAACTTGCCTCCATCTGTAAGAGAGTCTAGCCCTCGGCTTATCTTCGCCCGTCTACTTGCATCAGGTACAGAGGTAGCCCTTAACGTGGAGCAAGAAGGGAATGACGCCTTTATGAAGTCACCATTATCAAAAGGAAAGTCATGCGATAAGACTTTGGGGCAATTAAGATCCTGGAAAGAATGCGTATATTTAGAATCGATGCAATCTTCTGATTGTCTATCCGAATCATACTCAAACGCCACGTTGTCGACGGCCTTACTAGAGGTTCTCGACGATGGATCGTTGGCAACAAGAAGAAATATCTCTTCCAAGATAGTATCAGAAAGACCGTATGAGCTGATTCCAAGGTCATTTAACAGCGTAGTGCCACCAGTTTCTAAAGCATTAAAGAGGCGTACAAAACTGCCGTTGAGGGTCCCTGAGAGGGGGAGTGAGAAAGTCACTTCAGTTGGCATATCCAAGACTAATCGAGCTCCGATGACAAAACTACGAATGAAAATGAGAAGACGAGAGGATGTAGTTGCTCTTGATTCAGCCTCAACCGGCATTTTTAGAGATGACTTTCTGGCGTGTGACTGGCACTTAGCCATGACCAAGTAGTACCCACTACCATAGTGTTCTTTCAAGAAGAGGCTGGACCCACAACAACGGAGCTCTCCTTGGGATATGACAGCGATCCTGTCACCAAGTATATCAGCCTCATCCATGTGATGCGTCGTGAGTATTATAGTCCGGTGAGACTTGGCTCGTAAGACAAGATCCCAGATGCTACGGCGTGAATAAGGATCAACGCCGGCTGTTGGCTCGTCCAAAAAAATAAGTCGGCTGTTACCAACAAAAGCAAGCGCTACAGATAACTTGCGTTTTTGTCCACCGGACAAGTTCCTAACTAGGTCATGTCTTTTATCGAAAAATCCCAATTCGGACAAGAGCCTGTCGGCTTCTCTGGAGATATCCTGGTTTTCTAAGCTCTTAAGGCTGGCGTAAAAGTAAATATGCTCGGACACAGTAAGGTCATCGAATAGGACGTTGTGCTGTGGACATAGGCCAATGCTATTCCTGATAGTTGACATGTGCTTACGTATGTCAAGTCCATTAATAAACGCAGTGCCACTGGTTGGCGGATAAAGTCCTGTTAAAATTGAAATAGTGGTAGTCTTTCCGGCTCCGTTATGACCAAGAAATGAGGTGACCTGACCCTCGTAAAAATTTAAAGTTAGCCCCCTTATTGCCGGTCTAGCTCTACTAGTATATGCCATTGTAAGACAATCAATTGCAACCCCGATTGGTAGATGAGTGGGTTCCGCCTCGAAATAACCCTGAACCTCAGATGTATCCGATGTCGCAAATAAATCTTCTGAAAGGTGAAATGGAGAATTTTTGAACCAGAAACCACTCTTAAAGAAAGTAGCAAGGGAGCTGGCTTTAGTTCTCATCCAATTTTGCACTGTTTCACTATCGACTGCAAAGTCCCTTTCTCGTGTGATGGGATTTCGAACTGGGTATGTGGAAGATGAAGATATGCTGAGGTCTTCTGGACCCTGTAAGCCAAACCAATAGCTCTTTCTGAATGGAAAATAAAAGGGCTGAGCTATACCGTACTTGCCGGGGAAGACTGCTTCGATGTACCATGTGAGAAGTGAATAAATAAGTATATCGATCCAAATCAAGAGTAGACATGACCCCAAAGGAAAGATGTCTTCCAACAATTCATTGCTTCTCAAATCCGACCAAGTAGCACCGCGACCCTGTAGTTCTATCCTCGAAAAACGTATCCATCCAAGACTGTAAGGGACTTGAACAGCCAGACTCAGTGCTCCAAGGCCCCATACATTGAAGTCATGCTCGTTGAGCATAATTACGAGAGCAGGAATATAAAATAGAAGGTAGAACAAACCCGAGACCATTGCACTCATATGGGCTCGTGAAAAAAAGACTGAAAATAAAAATGCCTGATAAATAATGGCAACAGCATAAGAAGAAACAAAGAAAAGAAGCAGGCTTAAATCAGAACGAGGGAGGACTCCACCAAACTTAAGTAAAAGAGATATGATGATAGAGGAAATAGACATAGCAAGAAAGCTAAAAGTGAACCAATTGGCCCAATGAATAAAGTTACTGAGTCCCATCACTTTGGTGAACTCCTTCAATCGATATTCCTTTTCATATACAATACTTTTTACAGTTACAACAAAAGTGCAGATCCATGAGAGCACTAGGAATAAAGGCAAGGTATTTAAAAAGAAACGGATAAATAAATCACTAGTATAGCAAGGTGTGGGAAAAAGTTTCATTTCTGTAGCAGTGATTGGTCGACTGAAAAGGTCTAATGATGTTGCCTCACGATCCTCTTCTTTTGGCTGATCAGAAAGCAGAGAAATAATTGCATCAGAAATAAGTTCTTGAGCGTCAATAAAACCACTAGTAAAATACTTCATATCGACCGATGGCCTATTTCTAGGATCAGGAGTCCAGTACCTGTCGAGCACTCTAAAATATAAAGTTTCATCAATTGTCGAAGATGGAAGCCGCATGCGAATTTTTATAATACTTTGATTTAGCTGCAACATATCGAGGCTTTGAGGGGCTTGATCAAAGATTACGCCAATCACACTTACAAATCGTTCTTTGTATTCCTCAAGAAGGTGGTAAAAAGCAAGCTCATCATGAAATCCAATAAATTTGTCATCTATACGTACACAGCCAGAAAGAAAGTCGTGTAAAAATACAGCGAATGAATCAATAAAGTCAAGAAGACTCATGAGACCTTCGTTCAAAGAAGACCCCGTTTTATCAGGATTCG